TTAACAATGATAAATATTTTTCCACAAAATTTGCAGGGCAGATTTTTCAGCTCAATATTATCTCATGGGATGTAAATCCCCACATCCTGGAGTATTTTCTCAGCTTGCAGTATTTTAAGTCAAAGAAATTTTTGTTTCCACCCAGTTTGTTTGAATTTGTCTATGTCTCTGACAGGTGAAGTGGGATGTAAGAACATTTTAATATTTATATATGAGTGCTCAAATATTTTATTTTGTAAAAAAAATAAGATTTCTTTAGAGGATCATTCAGAAATTAATCAAGAGATCAAAAATATAGCCTTACACAAAATATCTTGTGACTGCCGCTTTTCAAGTGGTTTTCTAACTTTATATTTTCTTTATTGAAATCATTTCATAAGTAATTTTCCCAGTTTCCCAAAAATAGGAGAAGTTATTCTTTTCCTCTGTAAATAGAGCTTTAGTCTCACTCAAGTAAACATCTGAATGTTTTGTCCTTGTGGTTTTTTGCTCTTGACTTCTGTAGGGAAATTATGAAATTCCACAATTCATCTCTCCAACAGTTATTTATTGTTTGATGTAGAGGCCTGTGCTTAGAGACGTTCAGTCATTATTTTCATATAGCCAGTTTCAAAATTGCATGTCATGATAACTTAGGCAAATTATAGATGAGACTGATACTTCTAGGAAGTGTTGAAAAATCTGATCCTTAACTTTTAGGGTTTTATCTATTTAAATTCCTTTAAAAATTTCTTGTAATGCTTTTGGTTTTTCACCTGTAAAATGGAGGAGCAATATTATTCCACCTTCAAGAACTGCACACCTACTGGAACACAGCAGACATGATGAAATTAATATGAAAAATGCCTCAAATTTTAACAGGTGTTAGAAAGAAAGGCAGTTCCCATATTTCTCATGATTTCAAAGTCATGGATACTGGAAAAGGACATCTCAGTTGGACAAGAACAATGGCTAAAAGTTCCTCTTCTCTCTTAATGTTGCATAGCTTGTATCAGATAGTAAATGTGCTATTTCTTCTCTTACATTATAAAACTTCTCTAGGGTTCAACGATATTGCCTTTTTTCTAATACTTTAATAAACATGTTGAACTATACATTATATGTTTTCTATGAAAATATTTTCTTGGATATGAAAATATTAACATGAAAATATTAAAATGACATTCTTGAGATATACTATCCCAGAATTGTGGGAATCTTGCAGCTATTTAAGTGGCTGTAGTTTTTTATTTTGATATAATTCAAGTACAAAGTCAAAGGCACTAGTACAAAGCTGTACTACTCAAACCAGGTCTTCTAGCTTTCAGTCATCTGGGATGCTATGAATTGTTAAAGAGAGAGCTATTTTTATCTTTAGAAGGTTAGTAATTGACTAGGCTTTTGGTTGAAAGAAGCAAATATTCTCAAATTGACCCTCTACAACATAAATTACCAACTGAGTATGGCTGATGCAGTACTTCCATTTTTATATCAGATAGTGCTATAAAAGCAGTGAACTAAGGACTTAGCATATAATGAGTACTTCAATAGAGCATCAAAAATCTTATTAATATTTCTATGTAGTTCTAATTGGATACAAACAGAAATAATTTCAGCTGAAATCTGCTGAAAAGAACTTCCTTGATACCTTGACTATTAAATGAAATCATCAGAAACACAGTGTTCATGAAAACAGCAAAAATATGGACAAGAAGAAAAATTAATCCCTTGGATCCAACAGTGAACAAATCTTCCTTGAAGAGAAGAATGAGCTAAAGGAGCAAAAGCATCATTACTAGCTAAGCTTTACCTGCTTTTCTCAGTATTAAAAACAAACAACAACAAAAATCTATAGGGAGTAATTGTAATATCTTGAGAAGATAATGTAAAAGCTATATGGCAAAAAGTAGTGAGTGACTGGGCTGAAGTTAATTAAAGATGAAATGAAAGAAATGAAAGAAAAAAGGACCTGTAGCTTTTAGTAATCTTGTGTAGCCCATAAAGTGTGTTTCAAGATATATCTCAGTTGGATTTGGTCACATCACTGTTATGATGGGTGATCAGAAACAATGTTTTTGTTTCCTCAGTTCTAGCACGTTAAATGCAATAATCAGCAATTCTTAATTAAAAGTCTTTCTTCTTCCTTCTCTTCTGAAATCACAAGCATGAACCTCTAATCTTTATGTCCCATTTGATTTTAATTAGAATATTTTATAGAACTGCTAGAATTAAACTAGGAGGAGGGTGTTTGGACAGTAAGCCCTAGAATTGTACCATGAAGTTATCCACAGATATTTTAACTTTTTGTTAGAAGAATGTGGGGAGACTTCTTGGAGTTAGTCAGGACATTCTGATGTGTGCAAGTTAAAACTTTGACCTGGCCACATACATAAGCATTTTATTACATGAGGATGGTAAAGGGACTTAAGGGGAAGCCATGTGAGGAGCGGCTGAGGTTGCTTGGTTTGTTCAGCCTGGCAAACAGGAGACTGAGGGGAGACCTCATTGCAGTTTACAACTTCCTCATGAGGGAAGAGGAGGGGCAGATACAGATCTTTTCACTGTTTTGACCAGTGACAGGATCTGAGGAAATGGCATGAGCATAGTCAGGGGAGGTTTAGGTTGGAGGAAAAAGTTTTTCACCCAGAAGGTGGCTAGGCTCTGGAACAGGCTCCTAAGGGAAGTGGTCACAGCACCAAGCCTGACAGAATTCAAGAACCATTTGGACAACGCTCTCAGACACATTGGAACTCAACTTCTGCTTACTTCCTGCTTTGGTGCTTGTCTTTTTTTAAAAATTGACGTGTTCTAGGTTTGGAGATACAAAACAGTGGGATAAATGCCTCTAAAAAGTAGTTCTGATCAGTGGAAATAATAAAGTTCAGTTCTTCTTTAATTTAGATTTTCTGCAGTTTAATAAGATGAAAGTTCCCCCTAGTGCTTCTTCTAACCTGTGAGTCATTCATAGCATCATTCTTCCACATAGATTCTCTGATATCTGTGAGGAACTGACCTCATCTTTCACCTTTTTCCCCAATAAAGGCAATAATAGAGTCTCTCTCCTCTTCTTCACTCAGCTGTCTATTTCAAAAAAACATATTAGATCTTAATGTACTGACATCTGAAGTGCTCAGTCAAATTTGACTGGAACGGGTTGACAGTTCAAAAGCTATTGGAAAAGGATGGATAAATATGCCTTCACACACACCAACACTGTTATGCTAGTAAAGTGCATTTCCTGAGGAAACTAAGGCAAAAATCCTTTCTGAGCATACTCAGAAGCCTGTGCTGTATCTCATAACAGAAGCTTTTTCAGGTAAAAATGTCCTGTGTAAAGACTATGTTCTGCATAGTTCTCTGAAAATCAATGATTTAACATCAAAAAGGAAGAAACAAATTCCAGAGGAAAAGAAGTGCAATTTTAGTACAATCCTGATAATATGAACCACATCAGTAAGTTTAGCCTGTACCACTAGTGCAAAGTCTGATTCATGCTTTCAGCACAAGCTACCATGATTACAGAAAAACAGCTTAATCCCTTCAAATTCATGTGAGAATTGTTGCATTTATTCATAAATCTACACAATGAGTGAAAGGAGTGCCATTGCTTTGGAATCTCCTGTCTAGGAATTTTGAAATCACTGAGGAATCTGTAACCCTTTGTCATTGCTCTAGATTGTCACTCCAGCAGGAGAAACTTGTGCTCCTCTGCACCATGACAAGATGCTATTGTGAGTAGTACCTAACATGCACTTTTAATCCAAGTTAGAAACTCTGGCCTGAAAATGTACATTGTACTAGTACATATAACTTTAAAAGTCTGAGATGGAACATTTAAATATGAAAGAGAGCAATAATATCTACCTGAGGAACTTCACATGTAGTCAAATGTGACCAATTTGTTGATTTAAATTTAGATATGGAGGATTCAGTGGATGTCTTCCAGAAGATGATTAATCCTACCCTTCAAGAGAAGGGATAAAAAAAACACACAAAAAGGACCTATTTCTCTCCATTGAACATGAAAGGCACATTGTTGAATAGATGCCCAGCATTTTGATGACTAAAAAAGATGAGATAAAGGATCATTACAAATAATGAAGTCTTACTCAAAAACCTTTCCCCAGCCTCCATATTCCCTCTCCAGGAAGTCCATACCATTCTAGTGCAAAGTGTAACACCTATTGCTAAAAGTTTATATCTACACACTACTTCCTTCTGTCAACCATGTCCAGTGTTAACAAATTAGACTGAAAATCCTAAATTCATTGGATGTCTTTCCATTGTCTCTGTTGTCTCTTTACAGTTCACCATGTGTCGTGCTGATATGTAAATGGAAATGCATTAGACTGTTGTCTATAATACTTTTTGTCACTTGAGATGTTAGAAGCATAAAAAACCAAACCAAACCAAATCAAACCAAACCAAACTAAACCAAAACAAGAAAATACCAAACCCTGCCTGATATCTTTATGAAATTTTCGGAGAAGACTGAAGGGTATTTTCATCTGAAAACAGCATGATATCCCTTTGTCATGGTGTAGTTCTGAATAATTTTATGAAATTTGTCAAGATTATCCTGGATTTACCGTGCTTTGATAAGGAGGAGATTTTAATCCAATGATAGTGTGACTGACAGTTCTAGCTTACATAGGAAGAGTGAGAAGTCTCCTCAGGATCCTCCACATTAGGATCAGTCAGTTACTGTCCAGCTGATTCCCTGGGTGTTTTTCCTTCACTTTTCAGTAGATTTTGAGGGGGAGGGCTGGAGAGACAAACACTGCCATCAGTAGGGGAGTGTTGATTTTTGCATTCCTGAAAGTCACTGCTGTGCTAAATGAAGATAATTGGCAGGAATCAATTAGTCTCATAAGAGGGTGTTATTAAGAGTTGAGCTCTTTTCACAAATTGCCCCTTCTGCACTTATTGCTTGAGAGACATATCTCAGCGATCCAGAACTTCACAAACAGGAGATTGATTTCCTCCTTTTTCTTTTTCTTTCCCCGCCTTAAACTCTGCAGGTCAGTCCCACCCCAGGGTGCATCCGGGCGTTAATGAAGATGTTGTACTGCCCTTACTGCAGAGGACTTCCCACTGTGAAACCTTGCAACAACTATTGCCTCAATGTAATGAAGGGCTGCCTAGCAAATCAGGCTGATTTGGATACTGAGTGGAATCTGTTCATAGGTAAGAAGAGTTTAAATATTAGTGGAAGGAAATGCTGGTAATAGCAAATATTTGCTGAGTTCTGTGAGGTTAGGAGACACTGATGATCAATATTTGGAATGAAGCAACTGCAGATGCACCTCACTTTCTAACTGACCTTCCTGGCTTGCATTAAGAAATAACTGTTTGCCCTGCCCTGAGCCAGTCATGTCTAGTATTTCATATTTCAAAAGGAATGGTGTGGTGTTGCGGCTTCGGAGCTGAATTATTACATGCTATGTGAAATGTCAAGAAAGATTTGGTTGAGGATTTGATAACAATCTTAACATGGCAGAAATAGTATATATTACAACTGAAAACTAGGCTCTTGCAAGCTGAGAAGATAATAACATTGTGTAACATCCAGTCAACATAAATCACAAGAGATGCTGTTCTTAATTCTGGCAGTATATAGGCAAAAAACTTTAAAAGTTACATACATGAGAAATTATTAATTCCTTATTCTTGCTTAAAATATGTCAGTCTCCCTTTCAGTGTACTGAATAGAAAGTACCAAACACAATCAAATGTTAGAATGGAGCATAGAGTATGTATTTAAGGAAAACTGCTACTACAGTTTTATTCACCTAATTCTTCACTCAAGTAAACTAAGAAGAAAATTAGAATGAAATTTCCCTTAAACAGCCATTCGGTTATCCTGTAGCCAAAAAAAAAAAACCACCACCACAAAAAAAAAAAATTCTCCCAGAAGAGTAATATATAATAAGAAATAAGAGTTTTAGGTTGCTTTTTGTGATAGGATGACAGGATGGGATGAGGAATTAGATAAGGCTAATGATAATATAGAAAGAACAGAAACAGCTACTTACACCAGTAACCAATGAGCGTCATAGTTTAGAATGGATTTCAGGAAAATTAATACAGCTGGAAAAAAATGAGATAAAACTTTCTTTATTGTGGCTGAAGAAAGGAAATGTTATTTTCTACTTTGGAAAGATAAAACACAAGCAATCTCGTCCTGCTGAATTTCAAACCCCACTGACCAATGTGACTTTGAAAATTTGATTCTGACTCATTCATGGATTTTTGCTTTACTCAGCAGGGCGAGATGTATAGGGAGAAGAAAACAGGATGAAAAATGAATCAGAGTATGAAATGTGAAAATGAGCATTGAGTGTGCTATAAAAATAGCATGCAAACAACAATATAAAACAAATGATGCATATACACATGCCTTCTCAGTACCTAGTACTAGTTAAAGGAGTTGACATCAGAAACCACGCTGTGTGGAGGGATACCCATCCGATTACTGGTGTGAAAAGGAGAGTCCGATCATCATCAGCAAGCTGAGTGACATCTGATGGGAAAACAATGCTAACCTATTAGAGACATTGCATAAGCTACTTTTCCTTTGTCATTAAAGAATAAGCAAGAGCTGAAATGTCACTAATTCCAATCAAAGAAAATAATCTAGGCTTTTAGAAAAAACAAACCAAACATTTGAGTGACACAGTTTTTATTAAGGCATGCACCTGTTTAAACCAAAAGCTGGAAGGTAAGGTTTCAGGTCTTAAGAGAACATTTCATTTTCTGGTGCTTTAAATTCAGTAAGAGTGCTGGGCAGGGTGGCGTATGTGTTGGAAAGCATGGAAATGCTTACAGACCGAGACTTTCAGAGTCTTTAATTCAAAGCCCTTGTCTTCATCAATGTCTTTCCCATTTTGATTTTTCTTACTCTCAGAAAAGAAAAACTGCATGAAACCTTGTACATTATGTTAAAACATAGTGCTAATTTATTAAATACTATGTCAAGCAGGCTGCTATGCAATTATCCCTGCAAGTCAGTGATGACAAGGCAGTACACCAAACAAATACATCAAATCATGTTTCCTCTTTCTTCTAACTATACAACTTCCCCTCTGTAACTTTATGGGGAAGAGAAAAGAGAAGGAACAGAGATTTTCATGTGTTGGGAAAAGATATGCTGTTTTATCCCATTTTTCAGGCCTCTGACAGCTTTGTTGAAGAAGAGGGTCCTTCCTTTATGAAAGATTGAAATGAGGCAAGTTGTCTCTGTCTCTGACAGCTGTCAGAGGCTTTCTAATAACACATGCAATTCCCTTAGTAGTAAACCCAACAAAACTTCTACTCACTGAATTAAAACGAACAGCAGCACTTTACAGCACCGCTGAGCTATGAAAGATTGGAAATTATGCATGAACAGTTTTATCCCTGTTCCAATACTAGGAACCATGCACTAGGAAAAAAAAAAAGATAATTTTGTGCACTAACAGTCCCTGCATAGGCAGAAATCCCAAATGTTAGTGCATATTCATACACAAGATAGTTTTGCTTAGTTCATAGTCTGTGCATTGCAAAATAGTTTTGCTTAGTTCATAATCTGTGCATTGTAAGATCATTTTGGCAAAAGTTGGTACTAGGAGAAAACTCTCAGATATGTTTGTCAGTAACTAAATCCTGTAGTTTGGACTGCATATCCTAATATTGTTCTGTAGTTACTGTAATGGTCCAGCAACAGCCAAGATCTGCAAGTGAGGAGGAGCACAAGAAAGTAAATAGGCTGTCTCACAACGGGATGTGTTGCATGTTTCACCTGGTTTATAAATATAGAAGTCAGAACTGAAATCACATCTATATAGCACTAATAAATCTTGCCTGTACTTTCAAAGCTGGGGATAGTGGGACAGCTTCCCTTAAACATCTGGTGCTTTCCAAGATTTTATAGACTGTGAAAATTGGTAAGAGGTGAAACAGCTGCAGTATCATGACACATGGTTTATTATATATTTCCTGTTTGTGTCACCTTAAAGTCTGTGTCCTTTTTGTGTGATGTTTCATTATAGACTTTTTGTATTTAGTTGCCTTCATTATTGCACAATAAAAGCCAAATGTAGCACATCTTATTGTAGCAGATCCTCTACAACTCAGAATTCTGCCTGAGAAAGGAAGACAAATACATAATATCACAGTTATGAAACTATAATGAATAAGTAGTCCTTCCAGGTATCTATACAAAATATTTAAGAAGTATTTAAAGTAAAGTTGCCACACTGATTTTGAAAATGTGTATTTTGGCAAAGCCTGCTTTTGAAGTTTTGCCTGTTAGTTTACCTATCATAATCTCCTCTGTAAAAGTCTCAAGCAAATTTAGCACATGCAAGAAAAAAAGAATGAGTGGAAGAGCTGTACTGCTGATGAAGGAGATTGCCTGAGGGAGGAGCTGTCTGATTCTATTGAATGGGGAAAAGGGGGTTTTCTCTGTCTCACTGCCCAACAGATATAGTCAAAATTATGCTTTTCTCCATGGAGCCATACCAATTAACAGCAATAAGGATGAGGGATCCCACTGTTCAGTCTGTCACAGAAACACAGAAGAGATAAATAAAACTATTCTCACTTACAAAAACTCAGACCCATCTATCTTAGGGAATGACATTAAAATTTAGCAATACTGTTACTCCTCTTTCTTTTGCTAATCTCCATTTCAGTCCATGTTTATATCTTAAGATTCTTTTATTTTTCTTAATCTTGGCTTTCCCTACAGTTGATCACTTATTTGCCTTTAACTGCTCTCTTCTCAAGCAGGAATTTCAGTTGCAGAATGAGCCCACCTACCACCTAAGTGGACACCACACTTTCTGTTGGTGCCTTCATTCAGCTTCAGAATCAATACCCATAAAAACATTATTTCCTCAGAAGCAAGTGCCTCTCATTCTGACAGCTGCCTTAATCACCGGTTCGGGATAGCAAAGAGTCCATAAGGCATTTGGGTTTTTGGGATTTGTTTTACAGTTAGCATTGGAGTTAACTTTCTTCTGTCTTGAGAAAAAATGATAATACTAAATATGAAAGTCTAGCAAGATTGTGAGCCAAATATGATAATCCTTACATAAGTAATTGAGTACGACAGAAGAGTAAAAATCTGGCTAGTTGTTTTAATCATATCAGTTACTCTATCTGAGCTTTGTTTTTGTAGACATGTAAAGTAATTCATAAATGCTTTGTTGCTGCAGTTAGTGACAAGATGTAATGAATGTGTAGTAGCATAGCAATGCAATTCATGGAGGTTTGACACTGAATGGCTATTTATAACAGCAGAGAGTATAAGTCCTTTTTCTTTTCCCCCTAAGAATTATTCAATGATAAATCAGACTCACCTTAATCTAAACTCACCAATGTTTTAATAGATGGGAGATTGTGGAAAACACTTCAAAGGTTGTGCAGTAACAGAGATGTGAAAATAACAGTGATTCTGACAGCTCAGGATTGCATCCCTGTCTGTGGAAAGGAGCCAAGGGTCTCCTGCACTAGTTCATGTCCACAGCCGTCCTTCTGCTTAGACTGGAAAGAAAGTCACTTTGCTATCAGTGTATTCAACATTTGACAAGTTCTGTAGTGTAGTAAGGCAGATCAGCATGTAGTGTGTTCACACTGCAGTATACAAGGCCTGCAAGGCTGGCATCCAGGCTCAGAGAGCCAGAGAAATCTTTTACTTCCACCATCCTGCTAGGCTTCAGCCAGAGAAGAAAATTGTACCTGAAAGGCATCAGCAAAAGCTCCTCCTTCCAGTGTTGAAGTTGTTTCACTTACCGTCATTACAGCACCTCAGCATTACTAATAAACTTTCTTCTTCTTGTGCTTTAAGAATCCCTTTTTTTTTTCTCATCAGTATGACACAGACACTGCACTTAGGAGATCTTCTGAGGTAGAGTATACCATGCAGTCTCACTTAGAGCAACTAGACCATTTTAAGTAAAACTCCCCAACAAAATCTTACCTACTTAGTCCTAATGAAAGCTGTAGTGCTGAAAATATGCAATCAGTTTTATTTGCTGCTTACAAAAGTCCTCAAGTCTCTATGTTTTCTCTCTTCTGTGTGCAAGCACAAGGATAAACATTTTCCTTTGAGACTCCCTAGATTTGACTTTTTATAGTAGCTTATGACAAGAATAACTGTGGTCTTCAAGACTCACTTTGCTTCATAGGAAAATCAGTCTAGA